TAATAGCACGTCGCTCGAGTTTATTCATTCGCGATCGAGTAGGTTACTTTCGAGACAGCCGAAAATTCTCACTCGGTCGCTTTTGGAAAACTCTCCGACTCTTCTCCTCTTTCAAGCGCGACGCTTTAGCGATCCCGATGGAAACTCGGATGGGAAACTTTGATGAAGTCAAAAGCACCTGAAGGGAACATTTCGCGATTCCACGTCCGCCGTTCTCCTCTCGCGATGAATACAGAAACAAAGCGTTCGGCGGAGCCACCCCTATTGGGAGAACGCGCCCCGGTCTGCCGAATGGGCCAGGCACTCGCGTCTCTTTGTGTGCTCCAGCGTATTCACTCTGATCGATCGAGACACCCGCTCACATGGAGTCGGATTTGCGGAGTCTGAGTTCGAGCGAAACGCTCACTCTTGCGATTTCGAGCGAGCGACGGTGAGTTCTCGGCTTGAGTCGCTTCGAGTGGAAGCAACCGGCGCTCCTCGCCGGTTCCGAACGACAGCCCGCTCCGAGAATTCTCGTGAGAAAGAGAGAGAGAGAGAGAGAGAGAGAGCGGGATCTCGCGGGCGAGCGGACGTCCCGAGGGAAGGAATCCGTCAGCTCCGATCCGCGAGATCGGCCGATCGAGTGCGTTCATCAACGGCCCGCTCGTTTGAGCGGAAGTCGTTCGCGGGCGTTTCGAGCCGACTGGAGTTGACTGGAGACGGTAACAGTCGTCACGACGCGTTCATCGATGATGAATCCCGGAGGAAGGCAGGCGCGAGTATCCCCGCGCGCGTGCGCGCGTTTCCGCTTCCGGTTTGAGTATCCGGCTTTCGTCACTTCCGCGCTCGGCGGGAACAAACGCGCGGCCGCGACGCGACGCGACGCGGCGCGGCGATTTCTTCACACGAGTCTTCTTCGATAAATACGCGCGTCGCGCCAGAGATCTCTTCTCTCGATGAACCGGCCGCCGCCCGTGAATTGAGGAATCGACGGGAACGTGAGAATACGCTACGTACGCTCGTCTCGCTCGCGGAGGAATGAAGAGCGGTCCGCGCGAACGCCGAACTGCGCCACCGACGGCGACGGCGACGGCGACGCAATTCGCGTTCTCGCGAGTGCGACCATCTCCGGACTACGTAATCACAAGGACAGAGTGTTCGCGTCGACGCGGCTAGCGTCGGCTGCACCGGTTAACTTCACAACAATAGAAATATAGTATATATATATATATATATATATATTTTTTTTTTTTATATAATATAATTTATCTTTAAATATTTCTGTGTATCTCGTATAACTATTTAACCTTCGATATTAATACCCTGAAATCTACACTCTCGCGCGGCTTTTCGTTGAACTCAATCTCGCCCATCCCACATCCCCCTTACTCTTCTCTCGCTCCCAGCCTGTTACTTTTCTTTCTCTTGCCTTGCCAGCGGATAATCCGTCTCGCGTCGAGAGGTGCAAATTCGCGACGCGGCAATCGCGCTCGATCGTATTCGTCGTGGTCGCGTGGCGTCGTCCGGGTCCTTTAAGGTCTACTATGTACAGATAATCGTGATTTCCCACAACCGTGATCCCGGAATGCAATAACGGCCCGCGAGACGTATATTTCGCGTCCGGTAACACTGTACACCACCTGCACCGGCTTACAAAGCCAGCTCGTAAAAGCGAGATAGCTCCAGCTCGCCGCACTACCGGGGTACTAAACTGACAGGGCGCGAAACGGGCGAGCGTATCGAGGATCACGGATGTTGCCGAGGATAATAGGCGGTCAGAGCGGCCGAGCGCTCTCCGGAGTCTTCGACAATGTTCCGGCGGAAGCTCGCGGGCGATCGTTGAGGACGGGAGAAACGCGCGGCCGTCACGTTAGAAGGACACGGCCGTATACCGCGATTCTACTCCATTTCGCTCGTGAAGGGAAAGAGATTTCGAAAAAGCGGCCTCTCGCCTGTCGCGCGACGCGGGAGATTCAACACGACCGAATCGAATGCCGATCGAACGCCGACTCTCTATCCTCATTGCCTTTCTCTCTCTCCTCTTCTATATTTCTCTCTTTATTTTATCTAATAGTGTACAGAGTTTATAGCCAACATCGAATTGTCTCGTGTGATATATTTATATATTTATATTTATATTTATATATTCTTTTATATATCTGCGTATATATCTAACTGCTCAAGTATATCGTATTAGTGATCGATTAGTGCGCGATCGAGCGACCGTTCCCGTCCTCCGTCTTGCGATCCGAGATCCCTTCGTTAAAATAGCTGGGATAAAAAATATGTATAGCCGATCGACGCGACGTTTCGGTTTCTGCAAGAGAATCGCGTCACGCGACCGAATCTTTTCTCTCCCCCTTCTTTTCTCTCCCTTCCTTTGTAAGATCGCGCAGAATAAACGACAATCCCTATTTGATGCATATCGGAAACTCTCTCGCGAAAATCCGTCATTCTAATCTCTCGAAGGTCATACTGGGAAGTCTCAGAGTACGGAATAAAGGACGTTCAATCTATTTTCGGAGAAAGTCTCGGGGAAGCCTGAGCGTTATTCATCGTTATCGCGTGCAGCCTAATTTTCTCCTACTGCCCCTTCGCCCTCCCCGACAGCGATATGTTGTATTGCAACGATCTCCCGTCACGATCGTTCGACGATTAGATCGAGTAACGTTAACAGAAAATTGGAAACATCCCCCGTGTGTGGACGTCGCGCGATCGGTATCGTCAGGAGTGAAATTATCAAACGGTCGAGTCCCGATTGGATCGAACTCGACCGGATGTCAACGCGCGGCCTCGAGCGAAAGTCTCCGGGAATTTATGTCGGTTTCGGAGTTTCCCCATCGAATTTCGATGAAATTTGTATATCGCTAATATCAAAATGTCCCGCCGGCGTGCACTGGCGATGCTCTCGCGGGTGGTGGTGGTGGTGGTGGTGGTTTGCACATTTCACAGCCCCGAAGGGGAATATCAATCCGTGGCAGTGATATTCTATTTGGCGTGTCATTATCATCTCGAGTCCTCTCGCTGGCGCGTTTTCGCATCGCGTTACGAGTCCGACGGCCGAGGTTTTGCCCGAGCACTCCGCGGAGGCTTTCAAGTGGCGTACAGTCGGTATCGAACTCGCGCGCGTGTGATCGCGCGAGGATCGAAGTCCAACCTGCTGGCGGGTCTCGGTGTGACGTTTCTTTTCTCTCCTCTTTCCCTCCCCCCCCCTTTTTTTTGCTTTTTTACAATAGAACTTACGGACTATAAACGGGCTTGCTTCGACAGTTGTCCTCTGCCGCGAGGAGTACAAAAGAAAGCGAGAAATATCCTTTTCTTTTTTCTTCTTTTTCCCGGAGCGAGCGAGTCGTCCACGTCTCGTCCACGATCCTGCCTCAAGTGTTACTAATGTAGCGATAGTAGCGGTAATTACAATAATAATCGTTCGGTGATTTCTTCTCTCCCTCCTCCCCCGTTCCCCCTTAACACCACCGTTCTTCCCCTTTTTACACAGCGCCGTCTCGTTCGCCGTCTCTCTTCAGCAGGCGGAAAGAGCGCGTCGCGCGCCACGAGGCTTTCAACGGAAATGCGTATAATTACAAGTTTTGTGGACGTGGCGATTATCTTATTCTTCCCTAAATAAATACACGATTTCGCGCGTATCGGACGCTCGCAGGCGCCGAGCGCAATCCGGCGAATGTGGCAGAGGCTGCGGGCTTCCTCTAATTAACTAAGCGCTCTTATATAGGTCTATCGCTCCCTCTCTATCGCTCCCCCGCTCGCGCTTTCACTCCCTCTCGATCCTACGTTCAACACTCATTTCAATATAATATTGGCCCCAGCACCCTTGTTATTTTTTTTTTTTTTCTTTATTATTATTACATCGTCTCTCACGCAACGACTAGTACAAGCGCAGGGGACTTGCATTACATCGAGCGAAATCAGGCTGTATCAATTTTGCACGCAAGTATTCCCTTCCTAATGGAAGCTCGTACGCACGCATTACCGTCCATTAGTTTCGACCGTGTGATCTTTCATTGTTTTATGGTCGCGCGCGCGCGTGCTTTCTCCGCTGTATATTCCCTGGTAAAGAGCGATGTTCGTCGAAAGCTCCCATTCACAGCAAATATCGTCGACGAGGTGCGTTGCCTCGACAAAGCCCCTCGTCGTCTTCGCGACTCGTAGTTTTCGCACGCTAACGCTGACGCTTCGTCGAGCGTTGTTCGAATTGACGGACGGCAGCGTGCGTGTGCGGAGAGATGAAACCGAGGGGAATTTCGCCGTCCTCGACTCGACAGGGGACGCGCAGTTGAAGGACGAAATGATCGACGGTTTAGGAAGGTCGAAGAGTTGAAGGATTGAAACAGACGGAAATTCAAGGTGAATATCTAATTTGGACATTGAGAAATTACGCGAGCTTTGATGTAAATTTACAGAGACCGGGCGTCTTGCGCTTTCTACCGAATTATTTTGCACCGGCAGATCCGCCGGGCAATTAGCCGGCGATTTTTCCTCCGGCGAAAATGTCGAGGCAAGTTCCCGTGTGCTTTTGCAGTCGCTTGATTTTTAATATTCCGCGTCTTCGCGCTACGTCTCGAGTTAAAACTTCATCCGAGCGTGCGCCGCACCTGAGATTACACGAAGAGCGTAGTTTCGGTGTCGGCTCGATTGGCTCGGAAAGCCGTTCTTTATACTCGATCGCGTATAATATTTGAACGTTATTAATCAGTCCGTCGACATTGCCGCCGAAGGAAATTCAGTCCCAAACTGGCCGAAGAAACTGTCGTTAAAAAGTCGCGACGCGACAAAAGTGGGTCATCCCGCGTATTGGACGTGACAACACGTGCAACAAATAAATGCGCATTGCGCGCGCGCGTATGAAGTCTCGTTACGAGAAAGCGCCGACAAAAGATAAATGCACAAATTGGAAGTGTGTCGCACCGATGTGGCGCGTCCATTACTTCCGGTCGCGGCCTCGGTGCGGGCTTTTTTCGCGCGAGAGACGCAACTCTCCATGTTTGCGTCAATAAATCGTCGCCGTCGCCGTCGCCGTCGCCGTCGTCGTCGTCGTCGGGTTTCTCGCATCTTCAAAGGCAAACGTACGCCGTTATACAGTAACGCAAATCCACGCCGACTCTCTCTCTCTCTCTCTCTCTCTCTCTCTCTCTCTCTCTCTCTCTCGCTCTCTCTCTCTCTCGCTCTCGCTCTCGCTCTATCTACGAAGACATCCACCACGTAACACGTTCTCGCTTCGAGCTGTTCGCGTCTCCTCGAGAGAAAAACACGAAGGAGATGTAACGAGCTACTCGGATACTCACGAATGCAATAAGCGACGCTTATTTAAAGAGAACAGAAATTCGCGACACATCTACGCTCGCGCACGCGCGCACACTCGCGCGCACTGCTCGAGGCTCTATCCGTGGCGGGATAATTTCTGTAATTGCAATTATTAACAAGAGTGGAACGACAGAGGGAGAGGGGCTATTTTGCAGCTGCTGTACGAAATTACATTTCGCAGCATTGAATTTGCTCTCCCTCTTCTTCTCTCTCTCTCTCTCTCCCTTTTTCGCTCTCTCTCTCTCTCTCTCTCTCTCTCTCGCTTTTTCTCCCAAATCTCCCTTTTAATTAGCATTTATTAAACAATATCGTTGCGCGCGATAATGCGGGGAATTCGTGTGCGTGTGTGCGTGCGCGTGCGTATGAACGCGTTTCACGAAAGGATAACGTTGTACAGGATAATCTTGCTTAATACTTGTTTTTATTTTCATACAACGAGACAACTCTCTTCTCGTTCCGTTGATCGTGGTTATTAGGAGATGTTGAGCGTGGAGCGCTCCTCGTTACCCGCGGCAATATCGCGTCGTCATCTCGAGCGACCGATCGCTCGGCCCGACAAGACCAGCCCGAGGAGATCGTGTTTCGCGGATGCATCGATTTTTATGTACACTCGTGAAAGCCTCGCTAACGCGCACACTCGACTCTGCCACATTCGCGGGGCTGGCACATGCATCTCTAATATGTATACACCTCTACCCATTCCCGACCTGTCTCTGTTAGTCTCCTAGTCCACTCCTCGCCCGCCACTCGCGCTCGCTTACGTCCTACGATTGATTATTAGTTTACGTCGACTCCCCCTGCCGCCCCAAGCCGCCAAGAAGGTTTTATGTATTATCACCACGAACGCAATATCGCCAAAAGAGTCTCTGTATTTTTTTTTTGTTCTTTCCTTTCCTTTTCAACTATACAGTCGCGGCCGCCGGTGCGTGGCGCGTCTCGGCTCAGTGCCATCACCTCGCGATGTACCTGGCGAAGAACGCGCCGATGAAGATGACGTTGAAGAGGGACGCCGGCATCCGGAGCGCCCACGTAGTCGCCGACGAGATGTCACCGCATTGAGCTGAAACAGATCGGACGTCGTTCTTCTTCGCCCCGATTCGGATTCTGCTCGGCAGCCGAGCGGCTGGTATTCCGCTCCGCATCCGGAATTCGCCCGGATTCTTCCGAATCGAGGATGCATTGAATGTCGAAACGGCTTTCGACCCGGCCTTTTTCCGTTGGATGCAGTTCGGACTTGTCTTTTGGGAATCGACCGAAACCGAGTCAATCAAAATTGATCAGGGACAAGCACACGTAGTTGCGAACGCGTTAAAGCAGAGAGAGAGACGCTTCTTCTTCTTCTTCTTCGCCCGAGTGTGCGTATGGTCGGGTAAGTGATTAATACGGTTAATAAGTATAGCTTAACCCTTTGAATCCCTGATCTTCTCAAAACCTCCAAATACACCTTGAAGACATCTCTAAGAGACGCTCGAAACAAGAAAGATGTCCTCTGTACGCATTTCTGGTCTAGAGCGACACGGATGTGCCCCAGCCGACAGATTCTAGTTCTCCCCGGGTGGAGAACGACTCGAGTTTCTTCAGGTCTGACTTTCCACGAATTATTTCATAAATCATTAGTAACAAGGTCGAGATGTACATCGCAAAAGACTTCGCGAGAGATAACGGGTTCAAGGGGTTAATAAGCAGGACTTCGATCGATCGCGCACTCGCAACTCGAAAGAATCCCCAAGACTGCGGCGCAACTTAGCGACAGAGACGTAAAAAAGAAACGAGAGCTGCGAACGCTCGAGTTATATAACCGGCACGAACGAAGGGGAAACTTCCGGGAAGTCGAGTCGCGTGTCGCATCCAGAATTAACAATGCTCACCGTACGACGTGAGGTTAACCTGCCACGAGACTGGATGGCGATGAGAGGCTCTCGGACAGGAAGCGAGATGGCCCGTCACCGAGAGTTCACGACTTCCTGTCGTCGCGGCGGACGCGCTGTAAACGAGGCAGTAACGTCCGACGTCGGTGCTAGCCACCAAGTAAGCGGTGTCGTTCTCGACCCAAGTTCCGTGGCATAAGTATTCTGGAAAAACGAAGCGTCATTTGCGCCATCGCTCGGGGAAAATGACGAGCGAGCCGATGCCGGGGAGGACGAGGAAGAAGGCGGGAGAAACGAAACATCGCTCGTTGGATGAAAAACCGCCGCCTGGAGTCGCATTAAATTTCCCGATTTTTTTGTCTTTTTTTTGTTAAGTCCCGCGGGAGAAACGGGAGCGAGATCACGGCGCGGCGGTAACTTTGCGCCGGCCGCGAACCGAAGTTTTTAAGACCGTTCGAAGGGCCCGCGACAATAACACGCCGAGCCACACGGGGCGAATTGGACGGGGCGGGCCGCTGGAAAATGGCCATAACTCGTTAATGAGATTTGATATTATTCCACGTCGTCGTTGTTCAACTTGTTCCCCCCGGGCGCCGAGGACGACAATAAGGAGAGAATGTCTGTCTCCTCCGCGCCCGGGTCTCAGTGAGAAACGATCTACGTCGGAAAATCACGCACCGCGGTCCCGGTGGACGTACATTGCCCCGAAAAATCGGGCCTCTGGAAACTGAAACAATCTCGCGGAAAGTTGGGACTCTTTATTCATTTATTTATTTTCTTGCAGGAGTCATCTGGTTGTCATGTGACACAATACACGTCATCGAAGAACAAAAAGTGTCACGAAACACGAAAGGAAATCATATGGCACAAACTTAAGGTGTGTTCAGCTCAGTGATCGGTGATAGCAGATCTGAAAGTTAATAAGTGTTAATAATGTATGATATAGATTAATTATATCGTCAGACTCGTTCGTAGAGTGACGAAATCCTGTATGAAGAGGAGAATAATTTCTGAGAAGTTTCGTTGGAAATATTAAATGTAAAATTATAGGACAATCATTTAAGTCCCCCCCCCCCCCGACATCGTGAACAAGAATTAGAGGTCAGACGGAGCTCTCTCTCTCTCTCTTTCTCTCTTCAACATCGATAGATATAACTCGGCAGAAATTGGTCCGCAAGCATCGTTGAGAGTAATCGGTATATCGCGGTTTGTCGAAAAATAACAGCGAAACTCGAATACGATTGTTGCGCGGAGGAAGCTGCTCGACCTCAAAAACATGGTACACACATACACACACACACACACACAGCTGTATTAATATCCACCCTTTCGAGTACAAATCTTGCTGTGCTCAGCCGAGCAGACGCACCCGGCTGAACGAGATAAATTCAATGCCCCGGGAAAATGATATTTCGGTAGATTGTCTCGGCCGGCAAGAGGGAGGCTGGCTGGCGTTCCCTCCTCTCCGGGAAATTGTCCCACTTTCGAAATTCGGACACATCCTTTTTTTTTTCTCGCGGGACAATGCGCACCCACCGCCCGTCCCGTTTCGCTCGCGGTAAGTAATCACGCGCCGAGTGGAGGCAACAACGTCGTGACAGGCGCGACGCGCGGGTCGATTGATATTAACGCGATATTGACACGAGACACCTCGGCCGCGCAGCACCTCGGCCGGCTCGATATTTCCCGGATGAACGCGCCGTTCTGAAATATTAATCGCGAAAACTCGTCTCGTCGAGATTTACGCCGCGAAATTTATCGCTCATAACTTCGTACAACGATTCCGCGCTGGCCGTCGGATAAACTAACCATGATCCCTCAGCCATTCAATTAACGCGCCCGGCGAAAGGGATGAGGGAACGGAGGAGAGAAAGAAAGAAAGTGAAAGAGGTAGAAAAGAAGAAGAAGAAGAAGAAGAAGAAGAAGAAGAAGAAGAAAAAGAAAAAGGCGCGCGACTCGATCGTTCGACAAGCAGCTAGCTGCTACTTTTATGTCATCATTTTTACGGCACTTGCTTCTCTCCTCTTTCCTTCCTTCCTTCCTTCCTTCCGGCCGTAACAATGCGCGAACGGAAGAGGAATAAACGAGGGCCGTAAATCCTGCCGACACATCGATATCAGGACTGACGTTTCGAGCGACGATACCCGATCGTAGTTGCAAGATGGTAAGATGAGAATTTACTGCGGTCGCGCGACAGCTCGTGACTTCGCATAAAGAGGAAACGCGAGACCGCGAGATGGCCCGGGCACGGCGACGCCGCCGCTCGCTGAGAATCAAGCTCATGGTAAACGACATTGATACATCAAATACGAACGCGGAATTGGCCGGCTTGTCCGATCGCGCTCGCACCGCTCGATTATCGTCACGTCGCTCGATCGGGCCGGCTTGTCTCATTATTCAGCGTGTCTCGAGCTTTCTCAACGTCGACGTGAGAACATCCGGACGAAGCGTGTACTGTTCATTTAGACAAGGCTCGTAGACCGTAATCGGTTTTTGCGCGATTCATCCGTCAGAACGCGTCCGTCTGCTCTCTGATGGGAGAATTAATTTTCCAACTAGAGAGAGAATTCTCGATGATTGCAGAGAGAAGATTACATTTTTTCTTTTCATTTTGACATTTCTTATCAGGAGTGAGCTTCGGAGTGACTTTTACTCAACGAACTATGTGGTTGACGCGTGTAGTCTAATATATGCGGTCAAAATGTTTTTCCCTAAACAGGCCTAGTCTTTAATTTATGTAATGTGCATTCACGACCGCGCGCGCGTTATTGTTTAAAAAGAAATACATGTTCGGTGTTCAAGTGGATAAAATCCCGCAACAATTCACAAAACCTCTCCAACGCGTTCCACGTGATCGAAACGGGCCGCTCAAATAAAAATTCCGTTAAACAACCAACATGTGATGTTGCTTGCGTGTATTGGAACGCGGCATAGCGGCACATACATCATAGCTAAGCGCTATTTTCCCAGATACATCCACGCACACACGGATAACAAATGAATATTTGTTCGAACCTAATCTTACCCAACCTAACCCACCGCGATGTAGTTGCTCTATCTTGTAACTCAAAACATTTACGCGAGAAAGAATTTACGAGGACCGCGCGTTTATCATGAGTATACTTCAACGTAAAATTCTGACGCTTTATAGTAATATATCTCGGAAATTGCATGCGACCCCCTCGTAGTGAGTTGAGTGAAAGTTATTCGGGAATTCACTCAAGTTTATAACACACATAAAAATGAAGTATACCCGAGAGGTGCCCGATTTGTTCCAAATAATTACCAAATTGCCACGACGGTTGCATTCTGAAATCTACACGCAGATATTACCGACGACTCTTTCGTCTGCGAGCGTAGCAATTTTCGGTAAAGAGCTACGTTGCTTCGAGTCATTCGGCTCGACTCGCCGCCACTCAGCTCATTTAATTCGTGTACACTTATTTGCTTACGACGCATTTCACATGGACTTGTCTAGCCTACGTCTTGTCGTGAAAGGTTTGAGGCCAAGACAACACAAAGGACAATTACACACACACTCTCTCTCTCTCTCTCTCTCTCTCTCTCTCTCTCATTGTTCACGAGCATAGCATCTTCGTCTGATTTTCTCCAACAGAAGTGAAGCTAGACAGAGATCGACAAAGTGCCTATGACACAGGCCATCCTTTTCAGTCTGTAAGTTTTCACACCAAAGTTAGGAGCGCGGCGAATAGTCTGAATTGCGAGCCACTGTTGACGAGTTTGTGCGCTAACCGGTTGTGACAAAAGCGGCAGAGTGTCGGTATGTGCTGTAAATATTTATTTATTATACGCTTGCTCTGTCTTTACCCTATTTGATGGATTACTCTTCACGCTTCTTGGAGTGGGATCCCACTGAAAACGAGTGAAAAGTGGCAGTATTTTCACTCGAAGCGACAATGAAAATACCGCCGCTCGAAAAACGGCCATAGTGGATGTTTCACTCAAGCTTAGAGTGGATTCTGGCTCTATATGAGCCAATGTTGCGGCCGATTAGAGCGAATGCGTCCTGTGTGACGCTGGAGTACGTCAGCTTCACTCCTCACTTTTGATGTTCAACCGCGGCGATTCGAAGCGGATAGTTGATTCTGCATGAACGAAAAATCGCTGGAAATCGAGCGAATCGGTGGATGTTCAGGTGAGACTCCACTCTCCGCGAAATCGAAAGAGTAGAATATCATTTGTGTTTCACCCGAATTCGCCGTCGTGACATCAAATGTTTCATACAGCTCCACCCTGACTCCCCCAGAACCGATTATCACTCAACTCTCGCAGTTGTGCCCATTCCAAATTCCCCTGACTCCATGTAAAAAAAATTATAACAACACACCGACACGCAATAAAGCAACGTAGCAAAATTCCTTCGAAGTCGACAGAGAACCCATAACTGTCCCCTCAACAACACCAGACTTTCCCCTCGCAGGATGTCCCGTTTAAATATTCTTATGTCGACGTTCCCCGGGTGTGTGCTGATTTTACGAGACACGAGAGCGTGCTTCCCGAGAATAGAATCCGCCGTCGCCGTCGACGACGAGACGACGGCGAGAGTAACGAGCCCTAAAACGCAGCTTTAAATTCATCGAGGCCGGCGAGGTTAGCGCGCCTAATTAGTCACGGAAGTCCGAGGAATCGGAACGCGCCGTTTGCCACGCGAACGATCCCGATGCTGACGCGAGTGAGCGAGACTCGTCGACGCGGCGGCGCACAGTGGGGCCAAAGACATTCTTTGGTTCAAAATTCTCTGGAGACCTGAATTTCCAACCGATCATCAACACCAATGGGTGAGGTTGATCCTGAATAAATTCCGAAGAGATCTGTCTTGCCAAAATAAAAAAGAAAATTTTTTTCTCGAATTACTAGCCTCAAAGGGGAAACATTATTGACGAACGCGAGAAACTTGTGAAATACTCATTATTCGACACTTATTTCTAATCTAATAGCGTATTCAGCGGATTAAAACTATGAAACCAATCAACAGACACCTCGAGACTTATCGATCTTGAAGCAGAAACCCATTAACCCAAAACTCATATGCCCAAAATACAAAAACATCAAATACAGACCCGTTAAGCACAAAACCGAGGGATTTTGAGTCTCAAGCCCATCAACCTAGGAATCTATCAGTCCGAGAGCTTTTTAGCTCGTGGATGCATGAAGCCGTATATATTAAGAGCCCCAAATAGTCC